ATCTGGGTAGGGTTTGAAAAAGACGTTTTATATCATCTAATGTCTTAATTATAATACCATTATATTCAATCGCTTTGGGTTCTATACGAGGGGTGGGTTCTATAACGAGTCTCTTTTTAATATCTTCTTGACTTTTTAATATGGGTTGAAATAGAGTCTGTAGATTTTCCGTTAATCCGAGTTGTTGCAATCTGTTATTTTCAACTTGGGTCTTTATTTTATTCTTAGCTTTGATATATTCTCTATTTCTTTTTAAAAAATTATTCCAATCCGTCATTTTTAAAAAAATAAAATTAACATATATCGATCATAACTCTTTCTCCCGCAGGTTTTCTAGTATTTACAAATACATATCCATGATCATCTGGGTTTCTCCATTGAGCTTTACAAACCTTTTTAAATGTATCTCTATCCATTCCGTGATTTATAGACTGAATGATTTGAGATAAATCTTTATCGTTTAATTCAAATAATAAAAAAAAATTTGCATTTTTTATAATGAACATAGAATCCATCCCGTAAAAAGATTTGGATTGGTATATGCAGTGACAGTTGTGATGTCTTCCTTTGGTGAAGAATTCTTGTTGAACAGTTTGATTTCTTTGCGCTACGCAGTCCTCAAACAATATTAAGTTCTTTCGATTGCTATCAATATTAGACAAGCCTAGATCATTAACATTTTTCGTAAGAAAAACTTTTATATCAGTTGGATTGAAAGATGGATTCTTTGATTTAATGAAGTTTTCTATGATATCTTTTATTTCCACGTCTTTCTTTGGTAAATATTCTAAAGCTTTGAGGAATTGATAATACGATTGCTCTGGTGTTGTTGTGTAGATATACAGAGAATCGAAATCTAAAAGGTTTGGTGTTGTCAACATGTTAAAAGTGAGATGAGTTTTCCCAGAACCTGAACTACCGCAAATGCTCATGAGCATTGGGTTACTAGGAAATATGTCCGAATGTTTGAATTTCTTGCCCATTTTTATTTATTACATTTTCGTACTAAAAATCACTCCGTTGCCTTCATACTTTGAAAGGAAGATTCCCTCACCCGAACGTATGTTTTTTAAAAATATGGCGTTGCCCTTGTGTTTGACCTTCATTTCTTTGGTGTCGATTTTATCTATTAATTTGCTTAATCCCTCTTTAACGGTTTTCTTGGTTTCTTCGCCAAATCTTTGTCCGAATTCTTTAACCGTCCCTAATATATCTCCTACTCCCGAACCTCCTCGTGCTTCTCTTTCCATTGCCAAATTGTTTCTACGCGCTTCGGCGTTTGCAGCGGCTTCAGCTTTCTTATCGTTGACAGCTTTGGCTATCCCAGCAGCTCCACCAGCAGTTGCATCAGCTGCAGCTAAACCAGGAAAGATTAAAGGTAAGAAAGGTAAAAATCCACCTTTTTTAGTTAAATTCTCATCAATTCATTCCAAGTCTATATCGTCTCTGACTTTGCAATGTTTGTATTTATCGATAATCTTTTGGGTTCTGTGCACTTTTTTACCGTTGTAAGTTATTAGAGTCGGCGAATTCGTTTCCATAGCTTCTATTATTTTCATAACTAAAGTTTCTGGTTTCATTTTTAAAGGGTGTTTTTTTATTCAATTCTTATCATTCTTCTATCTGATATTTTAATCAAATGTTTTGCTTCTTCCAGCAATAAACAGTAGCCGGTCACATCTCCTTGTGTTTTATCGATGTGAATATTTATGTTTACCCCTGTTTTGAAAAGATCTTCTTGATGAGCTGACAGATCGAAACAAAAGATTGGATGATTGAGTGAAAAATCTGTGTATTCAAACTGAGGCGTATTTCCAAACAATTCGCACATGTTTTTATAGTTTCTGTACAATTCGTTGTAATCTTTTTTGGAAGGATCAATTGTCAAAGGTTGATTGGGATAATTATCGTTGTTCAATCTGACTTGAACTTTGCGAATGATGGGATCTTGAGTATGGTTCAATGCCTCTCTGAAAATGTTGTTGTTGTTTGTCTGAGAGTCTGGCAAGTTTTTGAAACCGACCATTAGATATCTCGCTGGTTTGACGGTGTTGGTGATTGGCCACGTGGTGGATTCTCCTGTTAAAGTCATGCTACCTTCTGTGTTACGACGAAGAAAAGCAATTTCGATGTCTTTGGTTAAAGAGTTGAATATTCTCGTTTCCACTTCTACGGAAGGAGTGATTACCGGTATGTAAAGTTGGATATTCGTTATTTCCAATTTTGCGTTGTTTTCACCAAAGAATATCTTGTTGTCGTTGATTTCTCTTTGCAAGTGAATTTTATACGGCAAACCTATGGAAACCTTTCTGTGTTCCAAGAGACCAAATAAAGGATACAACTTCCAATTTACGTAATTGACCCATCTGTTGTTCTCGACAACATTGTTGAAGCGCTCGTTTTTCAAATCCGTGATTTACTCCGCGAGTCACTCTTTCCAGTGTGTTTCTAGCAACTACCCTTATCCTATCAAGGTCTGTGTCATTTGCTACAGTTCTGACCGGTTCTTTTAAAACTTCTCCGTCACCGACATCGGGAATCCATCCCGAAACTGAATCGTAGTTTTTAGGATACAGAACCGTTTTCAACATTGTGTCAAACTCGCCGGGGTGTTTTATGGTCTCTATCGGATATGAACCAGCTTCCAAAACCATTTCGCTGAATAAAGACGGAAAGAAGTTGTTTTCTAAAGTCGTGTTGGTTTGTGGAATTCGATTCTGAGCGGCGTCTTTGATTTTGAAATCGCATCGGAAATGGGCATCGGAAAGCAGCAACCAATTGGACAACGAATTAATTTCAAAGGTAACTCTTCCTCCGTCGTTTATTTGGGTCTTTGTCCCTACCGATGGTGAGATGATTACGTAATCCTCTTTCTTCTTGTTGAGCGAATATTGAATCGGATCATACAATTGAAAGATTGGATCCAATCTCTAATTTTTGCTTGCCATTTTTATCCAATGATTTTAAACCCTTTTCCTTGTTTTTCTAGAGCTTGTCGTTCTAGTCTCTTGTTTCTTAGTTCTCTTATTAGCTGCAGTTCTTTAAGTTCGTCAGATTTTTTCACTGCATCGCTAATATTTACTCCTGCTTTTGCCACAGATCCAAGACCTTGCGCTTCTGAGGAAATGAGGGATTTGTTGTTTGAGACAAAATTGGCAACTTTGGGGATGAGAGATGTCAGCGCAGAGAAGAAACCGTCGCCTTCGAATTTTTTTTTTCGTGTTTTAAAATTAAAGAAATCTTTAATGCGGTTATTTTATACTGTATTATTATTTAGTGATTCTTGTCTGTGGTTTTGGGTAATTTATATGGAGTCTGTTATAATACAGTTTGGGGAGTCTGTTATAATATATTTTTTTAACAGTTTGAAGAAGTCTGTTATAATACATTTTAACAGTTTGAGGAAGTCTGTTATAATACATTTTAACAGTTGTGTCTTTTCGGATATGACGCATTGAAAAAGTTGCGCATGCGCAGAAGTGAAATGCGTCATATCCGAAAAGACATATACCTCCCATCTCAAAAACCGGATCAAACTGGATGCGCTATATCAGAAAACTCATATACTACTAGCCTCTGATTGATATTTTGACAGTTGTCAGCTGTAATAGAGTCACACTGTTAAATGGGGATTTTCTACACCTCCAAAGATGCGTTTTCTCTTTCATAATATTGATTTACATTTAAGATGATTGTAAATTAGTGTTCGGCATCACCGTAACTTTCGTTTAGTTAGTATCACGTGACCCTGTAACCTTTGAACATTTGGCTGCGCAAGTAGTTTTAAATGGCCGATGCTAGATTAGTTTCGCCTTAAAAAAAACTTTGATGGAACATGACATAAATGGTGTAGGGAAAAATTAAGGTATGACTGAACTTCAAAAATACTCGTCTTTCCAAATATACCTGAGTTTTGAAGATCTATAATTGGGTTAAAAACACCGGCACCTGCGGAGATGCAGAATGTCTCCATTTAACAGGGCCTATTTTTTCTGTCTCTACACCAGTTCAAATCTGTCCAAATAGCTATCAGAGGCTATTATAGAGATGAAATGAATGCAGTTTTACTTCCTATTTATCTGCACCAAGAGGCTGTTATAGAAACAGATGTTTCGGTCTATGTAACCCCATACGATATCATTTGTTGTATTGGGAACAGCAATCTTTTTATGATTTATGATAGTTTGTCTTGAAATTGAGTTTTAATACTGTTTTATTACTTGTAAATTGACATAATTTGTTAGTTTGAAAGTCTGAAGCTGAGTTGTTTTTTCTGTTATAAGTCAAAGAAATCGAAAATGTTAACTATTAAATAAGGATATCATTAGAAATGTTTGTAGCTCGGTCAAGATGTGAAATACTCCAAAGCAAGTTGTTTGTTTTATGCATTCCTGGCCATATTACGATTAGCCATTTTCTGTGGATCATCTTTCAAGAATCAATCACACGTAGGCTACATGTTCAGGTAACTAACAAATTACAGGATATATTCACGACTACAGCCATAAATTCTTCTTATGCCACTTTCAATCTTCACCCTGTTACGATCATTCTTCCTAGGTAATTTTTTCAATACAAGGTATTTAGGGATATCCAGACAGGATTTTTAACGTAACCGTCAACATAGTTTTGAGGAGCATTAATTCGTATTGACTTCGTATTTAAGAGGATTTTAAGAATCCCTGCTATAGGCTTAGTGGAAATCAACAGAAACACGCAACTAAGATTAGTGATTTAATCATATATAACAGTAGAATCCTGTCTCGCATTTAATTTAATGACATCTGAAAGAGGATAGTCTAAAAGTACTAGTTAAGTAATAGTATGTGTCTGTCACACTAAGTCTCCAAATGCCTTGGTTATAGCGTACATTTACATGCATCAGATTTACTATTAAAGAGGGGCACGCCATTCTTCTTTCAGCGCCAAAAATGGGTGAAGTTCTGAAATTAAATATCTAAATAACCAAATTCTCAAAGGTACTCGTAAAAACACAAAGTGTGGATTATGTCCCCTTTGAAGTTAATACCTGTTTGTGTCAAAACAAGAAGTATTCATAATCATAAACTTTTCAACACTTTTGTCTCGGTAACAAAAATTTCAAGCATCTCCGAAATCGGTAGGAATCAACCTTTTACATACGCACACGCCAAATTTGAAAAGAAATCTGTAGTAACCACAGAATCCTACTAAAAACATGAGGCTAGATTTTTTCATGCAAAATGAAATTCTGTAAATTTATTTAATTTTTTTTTATCATCACCAATTTCACAACATTAAAAAATAATGAAACAATATTACCTTCATATTCTCACCATTCTTCGGTAGCTACAATATTGTATTTATATTATATTTATCAGCTACAGTCATATAGCACTCTATCTCGCAGGGACGAAGTGTTGGATAGTGTAAGATTCTAATAAGACTCATTTCACTTCGATAACATACATATGTTTTAGATGTATTAGACTAACTTTGACAAGGGATAGACAATGCTCGTTTAAATTCTATGTATTTGTTTACATTTATTATGTCAGTGTTATATTTTGTGACTTCGGATCATTTATTTGATTGCAAAGTTTTTACAGCGTTAGGTGTGGTTTAAATAATCAAATTAATAATGTCACGATTAACTTCCAACAAAATCTGAGGCAGGGATATGAATAGATTTCTCTACTAAATGTTTCCAATGTAACTTATAACTATATTCCATACACAGCATATAAGCTTCTTTTTTGCCAGGACTTTCACATCTCCGACTTTTCTTTTTCTCTTTAGGTTTCTTGATATAGGTTAATGTTCGGATGGAATTTGTGGTTAAGAGATATAAGATTATGTACAAGGGCTGGGTGAAATGCAGCTGATGTGATGTTGTAATATTGCAATATTGTAAATTGGGCCACTTAAATTGTCCATCGTAAAATATTGGACACAAGTTTGCGAAGTTGTAAAAGAGTGTTAATGTATGTTATCGTGATCATTGTGTTGTTATATTCAAGATAAAAAAAACTCAGATTTATATTAAGATAACTACGATGATGAATGTTCAGCAACGGTGACAGTCTTTTCCAGACGTTTATATCATAAAATATGCATACATGTATATTACAGTGAGGATATAAGAGACGAGGAAGATATGTGTGAGACACGAAGATCTACAACCGGTAAAATGTGATTTGAGTGTCACCGGTGTTCGCCAGACATCAAATCGAATTCTATAATTCAATATAATTGATCTGTTAGTAAAACTGACCTCCTTTATTTGTCCCCGGGGCATTTGATAAATCGTAACAACATATTCCTAGTTGATTTCTTTATTGAACTGGTCTTGTATATATCCTGTCTTTGATGACATTTTAAGGGTATACTGTCACCTAAATTTCCCTTTCATTAGTAATGAGACATTAAACTAATACGAAGTTAATTTGGAGTGGAAACACCATTAGTAGACTATGACGTTTTACCAGTTTATTTCGTTAATCCCCAATAAAATCCGCCGTTTTGATGCTACATCTTGATACACTGTTGACTGTAGACAATAATTATGAAAGATTTGTACACATGCTAGTACAAAATACATGTACCATCACTATTTGCACATGGTCCAAATACTTATCGTATATGTCTGATGGGCTGGAATCAGGACACTTGTTGTCTAGAAGATAACGACTTAATCACGAGAAAGGCGTTTGCAAGTTTGCAAAACGATACAGGTGATGCGTTTCCTCCACTCTCCCAATTAAGTCAATATCGATTTTGAATATCGTATATTTTCACCAAAAAAAGAAACAAAGAATAAAACAACAACTTACAAATAAGATACTTTGTTGAGAATGTGTTTTTGAATATAAAAACATCACATCAAAGATTGCAACCCGTACCATGAACATGGATCGGATGGGAAAATCTGTAAAAACTAAACCCTAGAAACGAAATTATATCATCAAAAGATCCACTCCGTTATATGGCTTTATTAGTTTTTAAGTCGTATTTTCCGTTAATAAATCGTTTTTGTGCCAATCATGGGCATTTATATTACTTCATTCTTTAAAATAATATTTATAGGGATTGTAAAGAGGATTTCTAAGTTGTTTATGCTTATCGGGGACGAGGATAGCATCAATTAGCACCATTCCAATTTTCAATCAGACGTCTGTGATCCTGCAATTCCACTAAAACTAAGTGTTTTATGACGCAACCACAGCAAAATTTGCTTGAATCACATAAGACATCTGACATCATAAAACACTTTAAGTAGAATTGCTAGAACCAGAAACGTCTGAAAATTTGAATGGCGCAAAGAAAACCTGTTTACAATCCCATGCCATTGAATACCCCATGGTAACTGAGAGACAACTTAACACAATTGCATCGAAATGAGTTAATTGTCATTCAGGGGCTGGGCCACAAAGCTTGTACATAGTGGTATTAGCGGACGCTACCACTTCTTCAGTCATTTTAAAAGACTATAACAGAACAGATTATACAACATGATTGAATACAAGATTAAATATAAATTGGGTCAAAATAACTTGTTACATGTTTCTTACCCCATCTTGCTCAATAAGTCTGTCTGATTCGTTTGAATTACTCCATACTACGGAGCCCCTAAGGCGCAATTGTAAACATATTTATTTATTATTTCGATTAAACGAATTAATTATTTCGTTTAAACGAATTAGGTTAATTATTTCGTTTAAACGAAATAGACGAAAAAATTAATTCGTTTAAACGAAATAAACATAGTGTATTTCGTTAAAACGAAATAATTATTTCGTTTTAAAGAAATAATAATTTATTTCCCTTAAACGAAATAACATTTCGTTGTAACGAAATAATTAATTCGTTTAAACGAAGT